CCAAACTATATAAGGAACTCATACAACTCAACAACAAAAAAACAAACAATCCAATTAAAAAGTGGGCAGAAGGCCTGAATAGACATTGCTCAAAAGAGGTCATACAGACGACCAACAGACATATGAAAAAATGCTCAACATCACTAATCATCAGAGAAATACAAATAAAAACCACAATGAGATAGCACCTCACACCACTTAGAATGGCTATCATCAACAAGACAAATAATAACAAGTGTTGGAGAGGCTGTGGAGAAAAAGGAACCCTCATACACTGCTGGTGGGAATGCAGATTGGTGCAGCCACTATGGAAGGCAGTGTGGAGGTACCTCAAAAATTAAGAATAGAATTACCATATGACCAGCAATCCTTCTTCTGAGTATCTAACCAAAAAGTCTGAAAATATTTATTCGTAAAGATATATGTGCTCCGATGTTCATTGCAGTCTTTATTTATGGTGGCCAAGTCACGGAAACAACCAATGTGTCTTTCAATAGATAATTGGATAAAGAAGTTGTGGTATATACACACAATGGAATACTATTCTGCCATAAGAAAAGATGAAATACTGCCATTTGCGACAACATGGATGCATCGTGAGATTATAATGCTAAGCAAAATAAGTCAGACAGAAAAAGTCGAGAAGCATATTTCACTGATATGTGATATATAAAACTGAAAACATCAAAAGAATAAGAAAAACAAATGAAGAAACAGAAACTCACAGACACAGACAATAGTTTAGTGTTTACCAGAGGATAAGGGCATATGGGGGTGGTAGATGAGGGTAAAGGGGATCAAATATATGGTGATAGAAAGAGAACTGAATCTGGGTGGTGAACACACAATGTGATATATAGATGATGTATTACAGAACTGTACACCGGAAATCTATGTAACTTTGCTAACAAGTGTCACTCCAGTAAACTTTAATTAAAAAACAAAAGACTTCCAGGTGATTCTGATGCATGCTGAAGTGTGAGAATCACACTGAGCAAGTCCTCAGTTAATATTGTTCATGGGCTCTGTGACTTAAGGGAAATAATGTATAATGAAACCAATTTTAGCATATATTAATTGATGTAAACAAGAGTTAAGTGTCTATGGCATCTTATCAACATTTTATCAAAACGTCATTATTCAAGGACCTACTGTACTAGATAGTCCTATACTATCTCAAATTTAAAAAGTACATTCACACAAACACACACAATCATAGAGATAAATTATTACAAACAAGTATAGGCAGTAACACTAGTCTGTTAAGTGATATCTGGTGTAAGTATATAACCTACTTTCTAAAAATATGCACAATTTATATACACAAGCAACTCCAAGCTTATAAATGAGAGATTTTTAAAAATAAGTTTAATTGTAAATACATTATTTGGAGCTCCGGTCACATTCCATCCTATAAACCTTGGTTAAATTCCTAGCTAGGCAAAAAAAAACCTTTAAACCTGTAAATAGAGAACACATGATTTGTTACAGTGAAATATTTTCATGGGTAAAAAATAAACCAAGATTCAAACTCAGATCATTGGAAAGATTCACTTTTACTACCACAAACTTAGCAATGGAAGAAAACAGATTTCTTCCCACACTGTGATCAAAATAAACATTTTTTTTCTCTTCCCTTCTACCTTTCTACCTCGGCAAAAACAGAGACTGGAGTTAGGTGCAGGCATCAGGCACAACTGTGATAAACATAAGTATAGGAGGGCTGCAATGGAGATAGCAGAGAGGAAGGGTGACAGCTCTAGCACCTGTGTATCTGGTAACAATGCTGTATATGTTTATACATATGTCCATGTATAGGACATCCACAAGTTGGATGCTTGGTCTCCTACTTAGAAGTTTATGATACTTGTAGCCAAAAAAGAATTGCAGAACAGATCTGTACATTACATTTTTCCATTAAAAAGCATAGTGTTATTAGGTGAAAGTATGATGAAAAAGAGGCTATTTTACATTATCTCAAAGTATCTCCCCACAAGAACCACATTAACAACAAAGGGGAAAGGAGTAACTGCACAGTGGAGAAACCTGGCAGCCATCACCTTAACCAAGTGATCAATGTTAACATCACCAATAATGGGACAAATTGATTTCACATGCTTCCCAATATGCTACACTGGGAAAGATATAAAACTTTTTTTTCTTTAAACAGGCACCAGTTAACACGACTCATCCTTTTCAGACTATAAGGATCAAGATAATGAAACACTGTTATGCTTTCTTACTTTGTGAATTTTATATAATGAACAATACCTATAGTAATAAACTACTTAAGAGATTTATTCAGAGTAAATTTGTGAGCATTAAAAAATGAATTTACCACTAAGTATTAAAAGCCAAGTCAAATATTTCAGGGGTCAAGGGATTAATATACAATAGCTGTTAAATTTTTCATGCAGTCACTGTTGTCAAAAATTAAAATTAGAGGCATCACCAAACACTGGAAAGAACTGGGTTTGTGCTTATAACAATTTCTAGATTCTTTTGGTTGCATTGTTTTACAATTGAAAATAAATTTTGTATTCTTTTTCAGTTTCAAGACCTTGGGTTCAGCAAAGATCTCTTAAAACACAAAGGTCAAACCATTAAAAAAAGTACTACTAAAATGGAATTAATTAAAATTAAAATTTTTTGCTTTTGAAAAGACTTAACAAAATGAAAAGGCAAATCAGACTGAGAAATGGTAAAAGACAACCTAATTAAAATGGCAAGGGATCTGAATAGATATTTCAATAAAGATGATTACAAATGACAAATAAGGACATGAAAAGATGTTCAACGTCACTGATCATCAGGGAAACGTAAATTGAAAGCACAATAGATACACACCCATTAGAATGACAAAGCTAAAAGACTAATAATACCAAGTGTTGATAAGGATCTGGAGCAATTGGAAATCATATACACTGCTTACAGGAATGCAAAATGGTCACACACCGTTGAACAATTTGGCAAACAGATAAATATTACCCATATGGCCAGTAATCCCATTCCTGGGGGGGGGGGAATCATGTGCCCTCCTCCCACAAGACTTGTACAAGAATATTCATAGCAGCTTTATTTATAATAGCTCCCAAATAGAAACAATCCAAATGTCCATCAACAGATGAATAGATAAACGCTAGTTATGTCTATATAATGAAATAGTACTTGGCAATAAAGGAACTTCTGACACGTGCAAAAATTTGGATGAATCTCAAAAGCATTAAGTGGGAGAAACCAGACAGAAAACAGCACATTCTGTACAATTCCATTTATATGAAGTTCTAGAAAAATCAAAACTATAGTGACAGAAAGCCTATCAGTGATTGCCAGGAACCAACAATGAAGGGAGTGAATTTATGGCAAAGGAGCAAGAGGGGACTTTCTGGATGAAAATATTGTGGTGGTGGATACACAACTGTGTACATTTGTCAATACTCATCAAATTGTATACCTAAAAATGGTGAAGTCTGCTGTATGTAAATTATAACTCAAAGCTGTTTATAAAAATTAAAAAAAAAATAGCATCAAAGATTACCCTTGTGATAGTGACTAGAAGAGAGTACAAGGGAAACTCGGGTGCTGATACTGCTCTATTTCTTGATCTGGGTGGTGGACACATGGGTGTTTAGTTTGGAAAAAGTCACTAAGCTGTACAATTATGATTTGTGTACTTTCTGTATGTATGTTTTATTTCAATAAAAAGTTCACTAAAAAAATTATAAAATGAATCCTGAGCAGACTGAGTTTCAAGGGACTTCATACAAATAATGGCAATGACTCAAAATAGCAGCCAAGAAAATAACTGAGCAAGGGGAGAAAATGCCAAGTTAACCACTAGTTATAAGCGGATTTAAAAAGCATTCACTTGTCCAAAGGATATTTTCCTATGTGGGGGACTTGACTAATAACCTAGCTAGATTTAAGATATATTAGATAGACTAATAGATATAACTACATAGATACGAGTATATATTCTATACCAGGGGTCGGCAAACCTTTGAGGCAGAAGAGCCGCCAGGGGTAAGCAAACTGCAGCTTGCGAGCCACATGCGGCTCTTTGGGTACATACATATGGCTCTGAAGTAAAACTGAGAATAAACTATCATAGTTTCATTTATAAAATGTTTAAAGGATAGGGCTGGCCGAGTGGCTCAGTTGGTTAAGAGCGTGCTCAAGAGTGCGAGCTCTGAGCAACAGGGTCACCAGTGAGCTGCGTCCGAGCTCAGATACCGCTGAGCTGCCAACAGGTGGCAGGGTGGCTCAGCTGGTGAGAGCACATGCTCCTAACAACAAGGTTGCCTGTTTGAGATGGTGGGCTACACCTGCCCACAACTAAAGACTGAACTCAGCACCTCGAGCTGGGCTGCAGACTGGGTGGCTCAGAGGAGAAAGCACATGCTCTTAAAAACAAGGCTGTCAGTTCAACTCCCACATTGGATGGTGGCTATGCGCACCCGCAACGAACTGAACACAGCACCTTGAGCTCAGTGGTGTGATTGAACTTGGAGCTGAGCATGCTGCACCCTCCACAACTAGGATTGAAAGACAACAACTTGGCTGTTCCCCTCCCCCAATTCCCCAATAAAATCTTTTAAAACATTTTTTAAGGATATTATTCACATAATGGTGATTATGTAAAAATACATTTATGGCTCTCCAATAATTGTTAAATTGTTATGAGGGACAGGATTGGCTCTTCCAGGGGTTGGCAAACTTTTGAGACAGAACACACCCAAAGAACATACCACATATGGCTCGCGAACTGCAGTTTGTCGACCCCTGCTCTATATAATGTGTGTGTGTGTGTGTGTGTGTGTGTGTGTGTGTGTGAATAAATGGTTAGGACATAACGGACTTGCCCCAAGCCTTACTCAATATAATTTTTTTAAAATCAGAGCTCACTTTCTATTTCTAGAGATATATATAATACAAATATATTCAGAACATTGTCATTTCAAAATTTAATTTTCTACTTGGCAAAAAAAAGCCTTACTAACCTCCTTCATAAACGATTTGCCTATGCGCACCACTTTTGCAAATAAAATGGGATCATGAGAAAGGTGAGGACCAAGGTAACAGAACATATTGAAGACATCCCTCCTCAAATCTTCAAAGTTCTCTGCTTGTTTTGGTGCTCTCTTATTTTGCAAAGCATCAACAGGTGATCCTTTAGCACCTTTAGGAACGCCAACTCTATAAAAACAAGCAAAATTTATATGAATATTATACCCCATTTTAAGATAACACAATCATATTTATCAATAAATAAAACTTCCCTTGCTCATATTTGCTTTGTATATTTCAATTGTGCCTACCTTTATTATATCAACTAATTTAACTGGTAGAAAAAGACAAAAATAATATTGATTTGAAAAAAATCAGAGCTCAGAGCAGAATGTTTCAAATTAACTGCACAAAAAAAGGAAATCAGACAAATGCAGATTCCAAGTAAAATTTAACATACATCATATGAATTTGTTTTTAGTTAAGTTTGGCCGGTATCAACAATTTGGAGATGGGAATGGGAGCAAGGGTTGGACCTCAGAGACACTGGAAGAGGAACCAAAAAATATGAATGTAACAAATCTGTTTCAAGTCAATAAACATTTCTCAATTTGGGTTCCACTACCTAGACTGAGTATGAGGTAGGCAGTGGTAGGGAAGGTGAGCATCAGCATAATGAAAGAGAATGTCACACAAAAAAGGGCAGCATGCCCAGAGTTCTCACCTGCTAAACAGGTGTCCCACCATAGAATCACAGGGGTCACTCTCTGAGAAGAATACTTCATGGTCCACAGCCTGGATGGCACTAAAGGCAGCAGCAAGCAGCTATACATGAGTCAAAAGGATCGGGCTTTTGAGGCAGCCTCTGATCTGTGGGGCTGAAGCCAGAGCTGCTGCCAACACTGCTCCTAAGTATCCTGAAAGAAGGTTGAGTGCTAGAGGACCAGTAAACCAACACAGTAACTAGGGATAATGAGGGAGGCTGCAATTGCAATTTCCAGAACAGTAGCCTTTGTTCCAGGAGATATGAAGCAAGCAAAGAGGTAATATCCTCACTCAGAGCCACTTAACATGGGATAGAGGAAAATTACACTAAGTAAAAGCCTTAGTATTTGGGCCGGCCAAGTGGCTCAGTTGGTTAAGAGCTCACTTGGGAGCACCAGCTCTGAGCAGCAGGGCTGTGGTTTGGATTCCACATTGAGGGCCAGTGCTGCTCGCCCTCTACAGCTAAGATAATGATCAACAGCTCAAACTGGAGCTGGGCTGCTGTGAGACGCCGGCGACAGTGTAGGCTGCAGCAGTGCTGCAGTGGGCTGCCATGAGCTACGTGAGTGGCTGGCAGCCAGCGCGAGCGGCTGGTAGCCGGTGTGAGCTACTGGGAGCTGCTGTGAGCGGCCGACCAATGACCGGTGACCAATTGCCTCACCCGGGAAGAGCACAGTGATCATACCAACATGGGCCAGTGAAGCGACGTCTTCCACAACTAGACTGAAGAACAAAACAGCAATTTGTCTACCTGTCTGTTCCCCTTCCCCAATCCCCCAATGCTGTTCCCCTCCTCCCAATTCCCCAATAAAATCTTTAGAAAAAAAAGCCTTAGGATTCTCTGCCCTGAAGAGACGAGCAAAAGTAAAAAACTGCAGAATGGAGTTCTCATTCTTAATGGAGCAAATCCAACCTAGAAGTGTAACCTCTAGTTTTTAAACCACACTGCAGCACATGTTTTCCAATACCTGGTCTAAACATTAGGAGACAAATCACTGATTAACACATATCAGACTGGTCCACTCTGAAGAGTTCTTACCTTCTGGTAAAACGTACTAAGATATTTGCATGGTTTGAAGAGACAAGATAAATACGCAGATTTTTCTTGTAGTCCTAAACTGCTTCCACCTCAATGATTAGTAAAGCATACAGTAACATACCTTCGGTAGAGAGGCTCAATAGTTATGTGAATAAGCTTGCAAATAGCTAGGGCTATTAGCTTATGTGAAGCTGCATAGTAAGGAGGCATCTGATCCATGATGTTCTGTGCATGCTGCCAATCACCAATCTTTAATAAGGCTTCCAACAAACCAAGTTTTTGGTTGTCAGGTGGCTAAAAATGAACAATTTCAGAAAAGATATTCAGAGTGTACATACCAATAAATCTTAATATTTTTTCATTTAAAAAATTGAGCTAAAAACACAATATATATCAACAACAGCTGCCATCATGGGAAATGCAATGTCATTTACCTCAAAGTACACTCAAGTCTTTTAGCTATTGAAAAAAAAAAGAAAACAACAAAATCTGCATTTTTATTTAGCAGACACTGTATGACAGTTTACAGACTTGGAATTATATTAAGTTATACTTAATTTTTATTGGGCCACAGTGAACTAGAATTCATTCACCTTTGAGAATCCCTTTAGGACTTGAGATACATTAATATGCAAGAGCACAAATATAGTCAATACATTTGTGATTTTACTTAGAATATATTTTGAAATTTAAGTAAGAAAAAAACATGGCAGCTTCTTTTGGAAAGGTGCCAATCAAATTAAAAACAAAACCACCTTGTAAACAAATTATTATTCCAAAAACCAGGTTTCACCACACTCAAGATTAAGAAATTGGGCCGGCTGAGTGGTGCATTGGTTAAGAGCTGGCTTGGGACACCGGAGGGCCCGGTTCGGATCCCATATATGAGGGCCAGTGACACTGCCCTTTACAGCTAAGATGCTGAACAACAGCTCAACCTGGAGATGGGCTGCCGTGAGTTGCCGGCGACTGCGTAGGCTGCAGTGGGGCTGCAGTGGGCTGCCGTGAGATACCATGAGAGTGGCTGGCAGTCAGTGTGAGTAGCCGGCAGCTGGCATGAGCTGCCGTGAGCCGCCATGAGCGGCTGTCTGATGGCCAGTAAGCGACTGCCTCACTCGGGAAGAGCACAATGATAATACCAACACGGGCCAGTGAAGCGACATCCTCCACAACTAGACTGAAGAACAAAAGGACAGCAACTTGTCTGTTCCCCTTCCCCAATTCCCCAATGCTGTTCCCCTCCTCCAATTCCCGAATAAAATATTTTTTTTTAAATTTCATAAATTCTAAATCCAGAAAAAGATTTCGTTTTACCAGAACAAACTATATATACCTTTTCTACTTTCTCCTCTTCTTTTTCCTTTTCTTTCTCTCGTTCATCAATTTTTTCAGAAGACAATACAACCATTGTAAGTTTTCTAACAATTTGCTTAGCTTCCACAATTTCTCGTTTGTGTTCATCCATAATGCAACTATCCGCTGGAAGAAGCTAAAAATGGTTGATTAAAATTTCATAAAACAGCTAATACTATTTGCACATATAAAATACAATAAGAAGTCTAGCCTATTCTTGACCATGATTTCCCTTCTATATAAATTTCTCTCCATTACTTTCTTAAAATTTGACACAGTTAAGTACTTGAATTTTGTACACCTTTTATAATTAGGTACTAGTATGGGCTGGCCAAGTGTTTCAGTTGATTAAGAGCGAGAGCTCTGAGTGACAGGGTCACCAGTTCCATTCCCACATGGGCCAGTGAGCTGAGCCCAAGCTGAGCTACTGCTGAGCTGCCAACAGGTGGCAGGATGGCTCAGCTGGTGAGAGCAGGTGCTCCTAACAACAAGGTAGCCGGTTCGACTCCCGCATGGGATGGCGGGCTATGCCCAACCACAACTATGATTGAACACAGCACCTTGAGCTGGGCAGACGTGAACTGCTGATGGGCGGCCAGATGGTGACTGGACTTTGAGCTGAGCTAGCTGCGCCCTCCACAACTAAGATTGAAGGACAACAACTTGGCTGTCCCCCTTCCCCAATTCCCCAATAAAATCTTTAAAAAAAATTATGTAGTAGTTCAAAGTTTCATGTCTCCTGTGTATTAGAGGTCCTATTACAAATTAATGTAATACTACAATAATGATGCTTACCATTGAATTAGTTTACCCAAGAAAATGTGTACCTGTTCCATTAAAAATATTATAGATTTCCCCTTCAAAAGCCAAACTCCAAATTAACTAAAATACTGCATATTAACCCAATTTGGGAGAGGCAAGCTACTGAATTACATAACAGGGTAAATTTGATTCCTCTAATTGAAAAATCTCAAGTAGAAAAGTTATGAATTTGACATTTCACTTTTCATTTTCTAGATATCTATTTGACTTAAGTCAGAAACTAGTTTCTAGTTTAGTACAAAAGAGAAAGTAATTTGTGTATAGTCAACCATTATGAAAAAGGATCAAGTATCTCAAGTACAGCCATCATGTATGAGTGGAAGATGGTTAATGCAGACATTTCATAAAATAAAGACACAAAGGAAAATACAGCCAACAAACCATTATTTAGTAGTTTCAGGTAGGCCCTATGTGGAGTTATAAAAGAAATGTTCCTGCTCCTAGAAATGCATAATTTATTTCAGAAGCAAAGTATAATGCAAAGTAAATAATCAGTAAACAAACAATAAAAGGAAACAGTGAAATATTCAACTACATAATGTAGACTTCATCCCATTCATCAAAAGGAGGGGGGAAAGTAAAGTCACTATGGACTTATGCAAGGAGGTAAGCAAGATTTTTTTCTTCTTCTTTATGCTCTCCACTGGCAATCAAACCCATTTTTATTGCTTTACTTATCTGCCATAGGTCCTCATCTTTTACCCAGACTATTGCAATTGTCTCCAAAATCTCCCATAATGAATGGGTGAACTGTACATTTCTTCGTATAGTTTTCTCAATTTCTAGTTTTGTGTATTTTGAGAATATGTATATTAGGTACATATAAATTTCAATTGTTACATATTCCTAGTGAACACAACTTTATTATGAAGTAATTCTCTCTTTTTGCCAAAAAGTCTATTTTGTCTAACAATAATAATTGCCCTGGTATATTTTTCCGACCCTTTTACTTTCAACCTTTCTTTGTCCATAGTCTTTAGAAGTCTTATATAAACGATAAACTGGTTTTTAATCCCATCTGAAAATCTTTGTCACCTTAACAGGAAAACAGTCCACCTGCATTTATTCTTAAATCCAAACATAAATCTATCATTTTTGTACTTTCCATTTGTCCTGCCAGTCTGCACTTATAAACTTCTACCTATGTCTTCAAATTCTCCTCTTTCTGACCAATTTTACATATTCTCAGTTTGTACATCACTTCTTTACTTTAAATCTTGAATGGTCCTTTACTCCCAACAAGAAAAAAAAATCCAAACCTCTTACTATGGCATTTAAGGCCCTTCACAGCTGAAATTTAACCTACTTTTCCAGCCTCTACTCCCCTACATACCACCCTAGGCTCTTACCACTCTGAGCTTCCTGGTGTTCCCATAAGGTGATAATGAAGACCTATCTAACCTCTTGCCTTTATACTCAATTAATTCTGCCTACAAAGCTTCCTACCTCTTAAGCATGGTCAACACCTATTCATCTATCAAAATCCCATTTTAACATCACTAGTTTGAAAAAAGCCTTCCAAAATATCCTCAGACAGAAATGAGCACTGTCTATCCTGGGCGCCCACAGCATTATGCGAATACCTCCAATATAGGCCTTATTATATAATTAAAATGTTTTATCTTGCTAGACTATGACTGCTTCAAGCATAGAGATCAAGTTTTATTCAACTCTGTAACCACAGTACATAATTATAAGCAAGGAAGTTAGAAAGTGATCTCAAAGGCAGTGAAGATGATGTCATCTTTGGACTGATTTGTTTTAAGTTCATAGATATCCTAATGTAAAACCTAATAAAACATACATTTCTATACTACAAAACTAATTTTTTCAAATTGATACGCTAAACTATTGCTACATTAAAGGTAATCAATCACAACGACATACACACTCTTCTAGATCCTGAATACAGCAATAAAAGCACAATACTAGTAATTTATTACCCAGTAAAAACACAAGAAAAGCCATTTTTTAAAAGTATATATAAGGGCCGACCGAGTGGCTCAGGTGGTTAAGAGCTCACTCAAGAGTGCGAGCTCTGAGCAACAGCGGTTTGATTCCCAGCCCGAGCTGAGCTGCCAACAGGTGGCAGGATGGCTCAGCTGGAAGAAAAAAAAAGTATATATAAAGATTTCTCCATTCATCCTGAATGCCTAAAATTAACATTTTGGGGAGACGGAAGAGGTATCTAGGTAATCTCATATTTCCCATAATTTGTGGATAACAGAAAAGTCTAAAACTACATTGGTTAGAACTTGGCCTCTCTCCCCATGAGATAGACCCTGATGACAATTAAGAACTGTAACTTCATACACAACCTTGAACTCTGTAAGGGTGACAAAAAGTTTGTAAAAGAACTAAATTAATTTACTTTATAAAGTAAACATAAAGTAATAATATGTTAGGGCTTCAAAAATTGAGACTTGAGAGCCTAGGACCAACCTTGGAGTGCTATATGGCTGCCTATCCCTCTTCCCCACCCCTGAGATGGATAACCAAACATTCTTAGCAGCCCACTTGACTTACATGTACATAAAGATCATCTAAATCAATAAGATTAAATTGTAGAAGCACAGCTGCAACTCTGTATAAAGATGAGGGAGTTTCTCCATTTGGTTCCTTGAAAAGCAAAAGAAAAGATTCTATTTAATGCATAAAGTACAACTAAAATCATATCATTTACCTACTAATATTTAAGAACAATTAGATCAAATAACTCTTGCTCTACAATTAGCTGCACTGCTCTTCCTGAGCATACATAACATCTGAATTCAGGACAAAATAATTATGTCAACATCCCTTTTCACACTGGGACATCTTCTGATGAACACAAGGAGTTTCAGAAATGGACACATTTTACAATATATACTAATATTTGAATAAATCTAAAAATTGAATACAATAAAGGAGATTTTATACTGCATAACATTTAGTTTGGGTTTCTGTTCATGTATGTGTTTTCTTAACTTGCTTTTTTCAAGTAGTTCTCAGTAAAAATGCACAGAGACAAGGCTAACAAATTTGGAAGTGCAGAACCATCTGTGTCTGCTTTATACTATTCTCTCTATTCTTTTATTTCTTGGGTTTTGTGGTAAGTATGTGTGCTTGTCAGCTGAATTCCCCTTCAAAATAGGTGTCTGTACATATTACACATGGATAAATCAACATTTCAAAACATGGAATGGCCAATTTCAGGCCATCCCTGTGAACCCTACAAAGAAACAGAAGGATCTTTGAAAACGATCAAGGGCTTCTCCCCTGATTTTTAAACTGCTTGGAGTCAGATGAATGGAAGAGTGAAGTGAGGACAACTGGCAATTACTAAATGGCCAAATGCAAATAAAAAGCAATGAGAATACATTATGTTATGCTTCTACTCAACACTGAAAATGAGATCTTCGTAAGTAAGGCTCCCCCCACAACTGTGATAGGTATTATGCACATAACATGTGAAGCTAACCAAACTAATAGATTATCTTATAAATAAGGCACCATTTCAGTGTAATTTTTAGAATATGTCTTCAACTTAAAAATAGTTTAATTCTAAATGTTTATAAATGGTTATTTAGTATCAAAACATTTCCCCATAAAAACAAAAGGTCAGAGTCTCAGAGCAAACCCACAAAAGCTAACTATCTGGCTTGAATCCACCAAGAGTACTTTCATTATTCCCATTTCTCTGTTTAAATGAGTCACTACAAGAAGCCCTGAGTCCCAGGCCAAACATCAATTCCCACAATCTGATCCTCATATTGCTCTGCATAATCCCTGTTCTGTCCTATACTACCTTTTTGCATTCTCAAAAAACTTCCATGGAATCCTCTGGAATTCATGATCCATCCTCAGCAAAACCCCCTACCTCTCCTGTAAATGTTCCCTTCACTTTCATGCTCAGAGCCTAGTATTCCCTAGGAACAGTACATCCACTGTAACCCAGTCAAGTAGTCACTATTTTCCCCAGATCTCTCATACTACTAGGCCCACAGGTGGGGTACGAGTCATCTTTGCATTTTATAGTTGTTTTCACACTATTGTCCCTCCACCCTCTCTAAAGTCCATCCAACTTTTAATTACCTATCACTCACTATCCCTCACTATTTTGTATGATTTCAATGTTTCAAATTTATTGAGACTTGTTTTGTGGTCTACAATAGGGTCTATCCTAGAGAATGTTCCACGTGCACTTGAGAAGAATGTGTTATCTATTCATGATGGAGTGTTCTATATATGTCTGTTAAATCTAATTGGTTTATAATGTTGTTCAAGTCCTCTATTTCCTTATTGATCTCCTGTCTAGTTTTACTATCCATCAATGAAAGTGGGATATGGAAATGTCCAACATGTATTATAGAACTGTCTATTTCTCCTTTCAATTTTGTTAGTGTTTACTTCACATTTTTGAGGCTGTTTGTTGCATATGTTTTTAACTGCTGTATCTTCTTGATAGAACGTCCTTTGTTACCTATTATAAAACATTTTTATCTTAGAGTCTATTTTGTCTGTTATTAGAATAGCCACCCCAGCTCTCTCCTGGATACTATTTGCATGAGATATCTATTTCCATACTTTCAACATATTTGTATCTTTGGATCTAAAATGAATCTCTCATAGATATCATATAGTTGGAACATGCTTTTTTACACATTTTGCTGAACTACCTTTTAATTACGAAGGTTAATCTATTTACATTTAAAGTAACTGCTGACAAGGAAGGACTTCTGCCATTTGCTCTTTGTTTTCTATGTCTTATTTTTTGTGCATTTCCTCCATTACTGCCTTCTTTTTGTGTTTGACTTTTTTTTTGGTAGTGTACTATTTTGATTCCCTTCTCATTTTCTTTTCTGTTTATTTTTAGTTATTTTCTTAGTGGTTACCTTTGGTATTATTACAATTAACATTTTAAACTTATAATAATGCAGTCTGAATTAACACCAACTTAGCTTCAAAAACTCTGAACCTATACATCTCTATCCCTCCCCCCTTTTGTATAAATTAGATTTATAATTGTTGTTATATTCCTTTGTCTTGAAAATCATATAAGAAAAAAGGAGGAGCTACAAATCAAAAAATACAATAATATTGGATTTTTATATTTACCTATGTAGTTATCTTTACCAGAGTTCTTTATTTCTTCATATGGCTTCAAGCTACTGTGTAGTGTCCTTTCATTTCAGCCCAAAGGACTCCTTTTAGCATTTTTTGTAGGGCAGGTCTACTAGCGACAAACTCCCCCAGCTTTTGTTTATCTTGGAATATCATAATCTCATTTTTGAAGGATAGTTTTACTTGATCTATAATTCTTGGTTGACAGTTTTATTCTTTCAGCCCTTTATATAAGCCATCACACTGCCTTCTGAAGATAAATAAGCTGCTAATCTTATTGAGGATCTCTTGTATACAACGGGTCACATCTGTTTTGCTGCTTTCAAGATTGTCTTTGGCTTTCAACAATTTGACTATAATGAGTTCTGGTGTGGATCTCTTTTGAGTGTTTGTGGAGCTTCTTAGGTGTATAGATTAATATCTTTCATCGAATCTGGGAAGTTGTCAACCATTAATTTTTCAAATATGCTTTCTATCCATTTCTCTCTCTCCTCTGCCTCTGGGACTCCATAATGGACATACTGGTATACTTCATGGTGTCCTATAGGTCATAGGATCTGTTCATTTTTCTTTATTTTTCCCTCTTTCTGCTCCTCAGACTGAATAACCTCAGTGACATTTCTAAACTCATTTTGTAAAGTCTATATTATCGCCATTTATGGCCACAGAAATCTATCTTCTGTTAGCTTAGTGGTCAGCTAATACTTTAAGGTTTCTTGAAGGCAGGAAGGCAGAAAAGAAGGAAAAGAGAAAAAAAATTTTTTTCCAATCTGCACATTGGCTCTGTTAGGGCACTCTTCAACATTTGGCCAGGCCATTTACAATTCTTCCTTAGTCTTTACTTCCTGCTTGTTCAGAACCTGAAGGCCAGCCAGAGGAAAAAGCTTAGGGTCTTCTCAGCCCTTCTCTGAGCATGCATCCAGTTCTGGGCACGTACATGGCCTTTTTTTTCCGATTCCATGATATATATATGTCAGCTTTTTAAAAGCCATTATTCTCCCACCTATTTCCTTATTCAAATTCTTCCTTCCCAGGCTTTCAGTCTCTCTATTGCTTGCCCAACTGTTGCCTCTTGCTCCAGGCTGCTAAAGCCAATAGTTGTGCCTGCAAATGCTTTGGGCAAAAGCCGCCCAGCTCTGGGGATGCTCCCACGCAGGTGAAACAAAACCAAGCCCTTGAGCTAGTCCTTCAGGGAGCAGCCAGATATGTTGAAATCCACAATTCTTCAAGAATAATTCTTTGTTATCCTGTGACATTACCAATCTGCACTAGGAGTGCAGGCTTTTGTCTTCACAGCCACCATAGATCTGGATGTGATGGATAGTAGGCAGGCAATTTAAAATGTCACCATGCTTTCTAATCCCAGAGCAATAGCTCTTTCTTCACCAAGACTTTTCTTGGTTGTTGTATGTTGTTTACAAAATTTCAGAGTTCTGTAAAAGTTGGCTGACAGCTTTTGCCAGCTCATTGGGTACTTTTATGGAGGGACAAAACTCTGGAGTTCCCTACTCTGCCATTTCCATGGATGTCCTACTGTTGCCATATATGGAACCCTGGATCACTGCCCTTCCTTTAGCACTGCCCTTCTGATTCAATGTCACTCTCTCCAGCTCTACTCCTTTCTTAATTTTTGGAGATTTCCATATACATGTAAATCATACTTCCAAAGATCTTCGTAACTACCCTATCTTAGCCATCCACTCAATTTCCTAAATTTTAACATTACAAATAGCTACGACACCTCCAAAATGCCAATTTCATATATCCACCTTCAAGTGGGACCTTCATGCTGCTGGCCAGTCATACTCTATTTGTCTTGTCCGTTCGCTCTCCCACTGTCCTACACAACTATTGCCTACCTTCTCTCCTAACCTCCAATACCTCCTCTCTCATTCTGTCAGCTGATGACCTTGCTTTCTACTTTAGTGAGAAAGCTGGAGCAATCAATAGGACTTTATAAACGCTCACCGTATCTCTCCACCTATTAACAACTATGCCTACATATGCTGTCTTCCCACATGCTATTATATCGGGTTGTGGGAAAACTCATGGCGTATTTTTTCTATTTTTTGTTGCAAAAATGCGTCATGACTTTTCCGACAATCCAACAGATGGATTCTCCATGCTCCTATTTATAGTCAATCCATCTACTTATGTATGCCAGAACCTCCAGTCTCTCTCTCCTACTCCAATAATTACCTCCTCTCTCTCCTACATCACCAGTTTTCCTCCTTTTTACTCAATTATCCCAATTAGCATACAAATGTGTTTGTTCTTCCATCTTCACAAATAAATCCCTTGAGCTCACTTCCCCTATCAGCTACCCCATTTGTCTGTGTCTCTTTGTAGCAACTCCTTTATAGAGTTGTATATTCTCACTGTCTCCAATTCCACTCTCCCATTCTCTCTTAACACTACCCCAACTCTACCAAAATGGCTAGTTTTGATCTCCCTGCTAATATATCTATTGATTATTTTTAGTCCTCATCTTAAATGACCTATCAGAGGCATTTAAC